AGAATTTTGAAGTGGCAGTTGTGACTTTTACTTATTCTTTTTCAATTAAAAAACTATATATGTGGATGGTGTGTGTGTGTGTGTGTCCTTGGAGGCCAAAAGTGAGCATCAGGTCCCTTGGAACTGGAGTTACTGACGGTTGTAAGCTGCCATGTGGGTGCTGGGAATCAAACCTTGGTCCTCTGGAGAGCAGCCAGGGTTCTTAACCACAGAGCCGTCTCTTCAGTCAGACATTTACTCTCGTATAGCAGTTTCGACAGCAGATTTGCTTCAATAGTCCATGCTGAGAAAATTCTGTGGTAAACAGTGATGTGTGTGGTGGGAAATGGCTGGGAACTGAACCCAGGGTCTTACTCTACCAGTTATTCCCATCCCTGGCAAATAGTACTGTTTATGCCACTAGCTTCGTACCACGAAGCTACTCTTTTAGATAGCAGCGACTGATGCCTATTTCTACGCCTTCTCAAAACAATCTAATGGAGTGAGACAGATCAATGTTTTGCAGTTGCCAGCCAGTTAAATGTGACTGGTGACATAGTTGAATGTATGTGTGAACTTTTAATAACTTAGTATTCTGAAGCCATACTTGCTGAAAGCAAACTTATTCGAAGGGCCCGAGACTCAGATCGAAGGGCACTGACCAAAGAGGTGTGCATGAAAGGGGAGTGCATAAAAGTAGACTGAGTGCTTGGGGTCCAGTTCTACAGAGATACCTCCACAGAAAGACACTTGTGTATTCCCAGGCCCCCAGAGACGTCATAAGCAAATGCCAACAAGTAACACAAAAGAGTGGGGTGAAGAACCAGCCTGCCTTCATCTTAGGCCATCTTACAGTAAAGACAAACTAGGCTCATTCCTCTTTATGATTAAACCTCTGTTTCTCAAGGATTGGGCTATGCCCCACCTGTAACCTTAACTACAAACGGTTCTGTCCTGCTTGTCCAGGAATGGCAATCATGTCTGTGTTTCAGAAAGTCGCTTATAACCCTCTCGCAACCCTGCCTTTGTTTCAAAAGGTTACATGACCACCTTTGAGTACCTGCATCTAAGGACTACCTCGGTATGTCCACCTTGCAACCCTGCCTTTGTTTCAGGAGGTCCTTAGGGTTAACTTGTTACGCTTGTGTTTTACTCCTGTAACTCCCTCCTATTTTGCCTACCAAATCCCCATTCGGAAATCCCCTCCCCATGAGCTTTGGAAAAACATGTCTTCCTCACATCCAATGCTGACCTCTCAAACCCTGCCTTACGGGGAGGTAGCCTATTTATGCTGATAAAAACAAACAGACAAACAAAAGCTTGCTTTAATTAATTACTTGCTTTAGTTAATTTGGCCATGATAATTTGGGTCGGTGGTCCTCCTTTTTCCATCTTTGGCATTAACAGATGTAAGCTCTATGTAAGAAAATACCAGCTCAACCGCCAGTGATACAGTTCCGTGGAAGAGCCCTTGTGTAGCATGCAAGAGGCCCCAGCTTAAGTCCCTACCTAGTACTGCAAAGAAAATCAGAGCTCAGCTGGGGGCACAGCTCAGCTACGTGTTTGCTTAGTGAGCTCAAAGATTAGATTCCCAGCACCACAAAGGATACGGTGGTGTGTGTGTGTGTGTGTGTGTGTGTGCGTGTGTGCACGCACGAACGCTGTGTTAGGTTGGTGTTCGACAACTATAACCTTGAAGGCGATAATGAGGAGTGGAGGGGCCTGCAACAAAAGGCCTGCAAGGCCCAGGTCAGATGAGCGGCTGCAATGGAGCTTAGAGCGATGCCGTGCGAGAATGCAGGCTTACACTGCGAAGCAGGCACTTTCTCCAAGAAAAGCCAGAGGTGAGAATTTCATGTGCTGTCATAAACATTGTTTTAGTTAGTGTCGGGTCCAAAAGAAGCTTGGAACAAATGGCTAACTGTGGTGGCGATTAGCATACCAAAGCGAACGCCCACCTCCAAGTCCACTCCGTGCCAGTGTGTACCAGCTCCTTTCCCTCCCGCTACCTTAAACTTCTCATTCAAGTCCTCCAGCTCTCCTTCTTATAGGTCCCTACCATTTCGGCCATGCTCTCTTGGCCACCTCTCTCTTGCCTCTCTCTCTCTTTTGGTCCTTTTTTTTGTCTTCCTCTCTGGCTCCCCCCCCCCCCCCCCCGGCCATGTTCAGTCCACTGTTTCTCTCCCTGCTCTGGCCTCTTCAGATGCCGCTCGCTGTCTGTACTGTCCCTCATACCTCCAATAAAAACCTTCCTCTCAGCCGTACCTTGAGGCCGCCATGACCTTACTTTACATACAGCTCGTTATTTGTTTTTGCAGCGTTGGAAGGGAACCCATAGCCCCTTGCACAGCAAATGTACACCATGTTGAGAACTAATTGAACATTCCCAGCTCAGGAATTTGACAACTAATTAAAAATCTTTTGGGGGTTTAGAGTGTAGCTCAGTGGTAGAACACTTGCCTAATATATGAGTGAGGTCCTGGGTTTGATTCCCAACACACACACACACACACACACACACACACACACACACACACAATTTGAAAACAGAAGGTGGCTAGTTTTAAACTTTTGCTCTGTATGGAGAAGCACTGTGTCTCTAGTTGGGGTGGTTTGCCTGTCATTGCCACAAAATTATCTGAGATTTATTCTGTGGCTTTAAAGCTAGCCTGCCCCTTCCAGGATTCAAATGAATTTACTTTCGAGGTCATAGTGAAAAGACAGAAAGGATTCCTACAGGGTGCTCTCTGTTCTTAAAGAACGATCAGAATTTAGGAGGACCATACATCTCAAAGCCCACTCCAGGGTCGCTGTGGCCTCACTGGCTTAGGGACTGGGTGGCAGGCCCCGTCATCAGGGAGGCAGAAGACTGGCCGGTCTTGCAGCGCCCTCTGGTGGTCTTGAGTCTCCCTGCTGGTGGAGGACTTGAGCGTCTGTGAAGCAGCTTACAACCATAAGTAATTCCAGTTCCTAGGGATCCAAGGCCTCTTCTGACTCCCACGGGCTCCTGCCCTCACGTGATGCATCTACATCACACACATACACAGAAAATAAATAAATGTGTTTTTAAAGTACAGTAAGCTGAGTGTGGTGGCTCAAGTCCTTATTGTCAGCACTTGGGAGGCAGAGGCAGGTGGATCTCCATGAGTTTGAGGCCAGCCTGGCTTATACAGTGAGCTCTAGGCCAGAAAGAGCTGCACAGTGAGACCCTGTCTCAAAAAATAAAAAGGAAGAATGCATATGACTGAAATGAATCTTCCCTATTTCTTTGCCCCTTTACCAAAGATGGCTACTTGAGAATGTAGTTTCACCTGTGCCTTACCATAGATTTCTTCTATCCTCCCTTCCCCCAGTTCCTGTGTGGCCCGGCTCTGGGTAGGCTGAAGGGAGACACCCTCTTGTCAGGAACAAGGAGCTGAGGTGGCTCCCCACATCTAGGAGTTCTGGAGAAGGCGGTCCACAGGGAGTGTAGGTCACGGTGAAGTTACTGTGCAATAAGAGTAACGGGGCGAGCCACGCCCAATTTAAAGACCTCCTTAACTGATAAGGGAGAGAAAGAACTTGGAGCTAAGAGACAGACCCAGTTTCTGCTCCCAGACCTCAAAATGAGGGCTGGGTCAGGTGACTAAGCAGGGTGCGTTAAGCCCAGCTGGTCGTTCTGGGCAAGAGTCATGGCTAGAGAGCCCAGGGAGGAAGGTAGGTGGGGAGGTTCTCATCCTTACCAAGACCATAGCCCCTCCTAGGACGTGATGGCCCAACAGCCTGTTCTCCCCTCCCACTCTCACCCCTGTGCACTTCCTGTGACCCTGTGAACCACAGCATCTTCCCACAGGCAGCCAAGCTCTTCTCCCAGTTAGCAGGCCTGGGTGTAAGGCTAGCAGAAGACTTTTGTGCTCAAGGTTGAAGGCAGATAAGGATGTTCGTAGGTTCCTGGCTGTCCAGTACCACTACCCTCTACTGCCCTGACACCAAGGTTGTGCAAGTGGCAGGCTGTCCTGGCCAAATTCCACCTCTGTCCCAACGTTTGATCCACTAACTCACAAAAACAGGTCAGAGTGCTTGTGTGCGGCCCTCAATAAAGCCGGATTCCTCCACTCACAGTGTTTACCATGCAAACAGGACAAAGTCCAAGCTACCTGTCCCTGGGAGGCAAACCCTCTACCAAGTCACTGCCTCTCTCTGCCCCCAGACAGGGTTTCACTGTGTAGCCCTGGCTGTGCTGGAACTCACTCTGTAGACCAGGCTGGACTCAAACTCAGAGATCCACCTGCCTCTGCCGCTCTGAGTGCTGGGATTACAGGCCTGTGCCACTACACCCGGCTGTCACTGGCATCTTAAAGCACACACTCCCTTCACATCTCCAGTGGTCAGTGGTTGTTACACTCCTTGCGTCTACCAGAAAAAGAGGGGCTCACTGGCATTGCAGGCCCAGGGGCCTCCACATTTGATTCCTGTACAGTTTGACAAGCCAGGAGCTCCCTGGAGGCAAACACTTGAGCAGGAGAGAAACTATGACACATGTTTTACACAGGTTTGAAAGTCAGTGAAGGCCTGGCTTGGCTCTGGCCAGATGAATACATATGCATACACATCCACGCCCTCTATAGTGTATCAAATCACATGCTATCTTTAAATTTAAAAAAATCTTTTAAATATTTACTTCTGGTACTGTGAAATGGCTTGGTAGGTAAAGGTATTTGCTACCAAACCAGATGACCTAAGTTTGATCCCCTCGGTCCCCATGGTAGAGGAAAAAACTGACTGCTACAGGTTGTCCTGACCTTCACACACGTGCTGTAGCATGTGAGTACACTCCATAAGTAAAATGTAAAAATAAACAAACAAACAAATCTACTTAACAACCTGCTTCTGCTTCCTGGCTAGGCTATGCTGTTTCCGGTTCCAGTTGAGAAATCACCTGGGCCTGGGGGAATTTTCAGGGAAATTTCATTTGCTCAGACTCCCTCCTCCCCAGGTCCTGTGAGGATGGTGTTGGAGAAGAAAAGAAAGACCCATTCTGCTTCTGTCAGATACCAGTGAGGCACTGTCTAGTTTATTAGACATGAGGAACCAGCATTCAAATCAAAAGCAGGGGAACTGCCATTACACTACGGGTTAGAATCCCAGGACCCAGACTGGGACCTAGTTGGCAGCTCCTCACACAGCTCCCAGGGACTCCTGGCTTCCTTCGGGTCTCCAGTCTTCCCTCAGGCCACTCCAACCTTCACACCTTCCTAAAGTCCTCTGCAGGGGCCCCACAAGAGCATTCTTCATGACACCCAGTCTTTGTGTCTGCTGGGAGGAGAGTGCTGTGGGCATGGCGTGCCAAGTGAGGGCTGGAGAGGAAGGTACACACTCCCTTGCCCAGGAAACTACGCTGACTGAAATGTGCAGTTTCAAACATGGGTAACAAACAGAAGATTTTAGCCCTTGTAATTTCGGTCTTAGATGAATCCCCACTTAAATTTCTAGCCTCTTTCCTTGATCAAATAATAAAACTCCAATTGAGTGAATACACAGGATTGTGTAGGTCAATATTGTCACAAAAAATACAGCAGCTTCAAATATACCACTCTCCCCATTTAAAAACAAAACCAGGTCTAATTGATAATTCAAAATTCTTTTTTTTTAAAGACAGGGTCTTATGCAGTCCAGGGTAGCCTACAATTCACACTGTAACTGAGGGTAAATTTGAACCTCTGCTCTTCTCATCCTTACCTCTCAAGTATGGGATTACAGGCATAGGCAACTCATCCAGTTAATGCAGTGGTGGTTATCCCTCTACTCACGGGGCTATAACCCCCCACCTCGATTCATTCTTCAGTAAAAAATGCAGGTTGGGACCATTTCCCGTGGGATAAGCGTGCGTTATTAAAATGATGCCTGCATCCGCCTCACGCCAGGAAGAGGCTAACCCTCTGCACGCCACACTCTCCGTGAGGGAATAGGATTAGGCCATGGATCACCAAGAGGAAATGGAGGCGCAGAACAGGGAGGGTCCTCTGCCTTGGTACTGGCACAGAAAGAGTGGAAATGATGACGCACGCAGGGAGCTACACAAAGCAAACACAACTGGGTTCCTGGAGAGGGGATCACAGATGAACATGCGGGTCTATCCACTTCACTCTGACAGTGCTTTTATCACCTTAGGGAAAACCATTAGGGGCCTTTGTCCTTCCAAGCACTGATTTCTCCAGGGGCATGCAGGAGTAGCAGAGGCAATCCCCGGTTGCCTCTGCATGAATAGATAGCCTGGCAGGCTCTATGGAGGACATTTACCCACTCTGTAACTCACAGACTCAGAGGGAAGGAAGATCCTAGAAGCTCCAGGATACTTGGGCTAGGACCTGAGATCTAGTACAAGTCAGAGGGTCTGAGCTCCCCAGCACCCTGGCTTTCCCTGCCCTTGGTGCTATAGGCAGCTCCCAGCAAACTTTTCCTCAAAGGATTTGGCACCGTAATCAGTGTCAACATGAGGAAGACAGAGGCCTGTTTTTTCTCACAGCATGCAAGGTGCTTTTGGTCCTGGCCTTGCAACACACAAACCATCTTGGCTCTGGCCTCACAGGCTGCCTCATGGTAACAGTCAGGTCTTTATTTTGGCTTATTCTGGGAGCCAATGTCCCAAGAAACCTAAGGGGATCTCTTCCCAGAATGACAGGGAGACGGGATTAGTCCTCCTGTGTCTCAAAACTGTAACAATCGGTATTCTGAGTAAACCAATTATTTGTGATTGGTCCATCCTACACACTGTGAGATGCCCCCTTATTGCTCCCACACAAGTTTCCAGTGTTGCCCAGGGGTGCAGTGGCCCCTGGGAGGAAGCCACTAGGCTGGCAGCCCCTTCAATCACTTGGAAAACAAGCCCCAGAGAGACTGAGTGGCGTGTCTGCAAAGTGGTTACAGGGTCTCCTTGGCTCAGAGAAATGAAGGCACAGAGAGACAAGATCACCATAATCACAGAGTGAAAAAATCACCAAGCATGGAGGAGGTCCCACAGGTCTTGTTGCCTGGCTGGCAAGTGAAGGCGGCCGCCCCCAAGCATGTGGCGTCTTTATAGTCAGTCAGTCACCTTCAGCTGGGGTCAACACGGTGACACGGAGACTCACTGAGAAGGGCCAGACCCCAGTGTGCAGGTTAGGGCCGGTCCAGGGGTCCAGCCTTCATCTTGTGTCCTCCAAGGGCTCGGGTGGCATGTGGACAGCTCTATCCTGGGCTCTAGATCCACTTCCACGCTCTTCACAGTCTCCGTTGGGAAATATGGCTGTCAGTGCAAGCTTCTCATCTGAGACCCGGAGGTGTTCTGGAACATTCGACAGTGAAAAGATCAAGTTTATGAGTCAACATTGAAGCACTCAGGTAAAAGTTCTTGCCACCAAGCAAGCCCAACAACCTGAGTTTGGTTCCCGGAACACACATGGTGGAAGGAGAGAACAAACTCCCTCAAATTGTCCTCTGACCTCCATGTGCACACAGAGGTGTGTACACATCAGAGATTCAAAAGCCAAGCAAAATATAGGTCTAAAACAATTTTTAAAAAGGAAACATGCCCTTTGAGCCCAGCAAGCCCAGGTTTAGGCATTTCTGCAAGGGCATACTTGGACGTGATCACTGAACTCCTGCTACCTTCTCGTTACCAGTCTGAGATGGGCCAGTGGAGAAGGGGAGTCCCAGGTCCTCGAGGGGTCTGTGGCTCCTGGGTTGATGCTGACCAACTCTGCAGCCAACTCCACTCTTTTTATGGGAGATAATGAGTTTCCTCACAGCTTATGCTGGTTGAGTCCTGGCTGCCTCACCAGCAGCTGAAAGTATTGCAACTCATCCTCAGTCAGCCTTCAGAGAAGGCACAAACTATGGTTTTTCTATATGCATTAAGACTGGGGTTGGGGCTGGGTGATGGTAGTGCACACCTTTAATCCATCACTCAGGAGGCAGAGGCAGGAAGATCTCTGAGTTTGAGGCCAGCCTGGTTTATAGAGTGTCAGGCGAGTCAGGCCTATATAGAGACTTGAAAAACAAAAATAAACAGAGAGTGAGAGAGAGCGAGAGCGAGAGCACTTGGGATGTAGCTCAGTCAATAGAGTGGTTGCCTAGCATTCAAAAGTCCCAGGTTCAGTTCCCAGCACCACATAAAGTAGGTGTAATGGTGCCTGTAATCCCAGTGCTTGGGAGATGAAGGTGAGAAGGTCAAGGTCATATTGGAAACATTGCGAATTCAAGGCCAACCTAGAATATATGAAACTATCCCAAAAACAAAAATTGCCAAGGCATAGCTAAAGAATATTATAAAACCAAATAAAATAATAAAATGTTGTGCATGTAGCCCAGAGAATCACAACAAAGGAGTTTTGTTTTGTTGAAAATAAAAGACATTGTATAAAGTTCTATAAAACTACTCACACACAGAGGGAAGAAGGGGAGAGAGAGAGAATTAGGAACCCAGAATACAGTCTGGATTGCACTAACGTTTGTTTCCTGATTATGATACTGCACTACAGTTTTGGTTTTTACTATAATTTTTTGAGCTATAATCACTGGGGAAACTGGGCAGAGCAGACACTGGATCTCTCCATGCTGTTTTAAATTTTATGTTCATCTACAGTTATCTTTAAAAAGATGCTGATACAGCAATTGCTTTAGGAAGAAGACAGTCACGATCTGCTATTGCTGAAGAAAATATTCCAAAACAACACATGCATGTACATGAGTATATCTTATATTTATCATGTGTATTATAAATGTGTGTATAGACACTTCTCTGTATCCATGAGTTTCTCATCCAGAATCAATGAACTTTGGATCATAGGTATTTGAAAAAAAATTTTTGGTCTGTACTGAACAAGAGAGATATTTTCCTGGTCACTATAGCCCAGTATAATGCTAGAGAGATGGCTCAGCAGCTAAAAGTACTTGCTACTATTGCAGAGGATTGGGTTCAGTTCCCAGGACCCATATGGTAGCTGGCACACAACCATCAGCAAGTACAGTTCCAGGGGATCTGACGCTCTCTTCTGGCCTACTTGAGCACTGCACATATATGGTGCACATACACACATGGAGGCAAAACACTCACATAATAAAAATAAATACATCTATAAAAAATTTAAATACAGCATAAAAATTACTCTCACATTACTCCCATTGTATTCAGGATTATAAATAATTCAGAGATGAATAAAATGTACAGGAGGATTGCATAGATTGTAAATATGGACTGTGCTTTGTCTTCTTGTGTGTGTTGTATGTGCAAGTGTGTATGTCTTTGCATGTATGTGGGTGCCAGTGCAGGCATGCTTGTGCGTGTGTGTGTGTGTGTGTGTGTGTGTGTGCGTGCGTGTGTGTTTTCTTCTCTGAGGCTGATGTCAAGGATCTGCCTCCCCTGCTTTTCCGCCTTATTCATCAAAGCAAGGTCTCTCTCTCAAGTCCAGAGCTTGCAGGTACGGCCGGTCTTGCTAGCTTCCCTGCTCTGTGGTTCCTCTGTCTTCTCCCTCTGAGGCTGGGAAGGCAGGCAGGCTGCCACACTGTCTTGATATTTAGTGAGTTTCTGGGGGACCCACACTCCATCCTCATACTTGCCTGGCAGTTGCTTTAACCGCTGAACCATCTTTCCAGCTCGGTTACTCTACTACTTTATATAAGGGTTTGGGCATTTTCAGTTTTTGTTTTTGGACGCTTAATAAATGAATGTCATTTTTATTTTTATCTATTTAGAGTGTGGAAATACTGCATAACAGTGTGTGTGTGTGTGTGTGTGTGTGTGTGTGTGTGTGTGTGCGTGTGTGTAGGTTGGAGGACGACTTGTGGATGTTAGTTCTCTCCTTCCACAATATATGGATCCTGGGAAGAAAACTCAGGTCTTCAAGTCTTGGTGAAAAGCACCTTCACTCACTGAGAGAGCCTACCAGCCCACCATATGTTCTTTTAAGCCACTGTTTGTAGCAATTTATTAGGCAGTGAAAGAAGGCTACAAGATCAGTGAATAGTCAGTTTTAAATAAGGGATACAATAAAAGCTCATTTTATACCACTGCTCATTATCTGTCCCCTACCCTTTCCTCACCTCCATTGACCAGTGAGATGGCTCTATCGTGGAAACCTCCCTAGGTGAGTTAGCTCCTTTCTAGTCTCACTGCCTTTGTGGGTCCAAGTAACCCAATATCCCTCCTGTGGTGCTGTGGTCCCCTCAAGCTGGGACCTGCCTCTGATCTCTCTGTGTCTCCACAGGCTGACCATCTTTCCACTGTGTCTAAGACTCTGCACCTTTAAAGAGCATACCGGCTCCCATGTGGCCCAGCCTGGCACGCCAAGGCCTTCCTCTTCCAATTGCACCAGGCCCTGAGCACCCTTGAAGGCGCGTCCTTTTCTGAGTATGGTATTTTCTGGGAACTTTTGCTCAGGTTACTCTCTGAGCCTTCTTCCTATATCTGCCTATAGGAAGTCCTGTATCCCAGCTCAAATGCCACTAGCTCCTTAACACTCCATGGCTTCTCAGGGGATGCTGGCCTGCCACCCCCCCCGTCCCCTGTCATGCATGTGGAATTCCTGTACTACAGTTTTCTTCATGTCTTCACCAGGTTGGAGGACTGCTGGGGCAGACACTCTGCCTGACCCACACTGAGCCCTGCTTGGAAGGACAGGCACCCTGATCACTCATGCTACTCTCAGGATGGACAGAGTGCTCCACGGGTACCCATCCGCTGTCCCTTAAGGTCCCTGCATTCACTCAGATCCAGGCAACCAAAGTACTTACCTTGAGCTGGGCCTCGGGGGGAGGTGACATCTCGGCTCTTCCTCTGGCTCCAGGGACCCCAGGAAAAGCACGTCAGTAGGCCGGATCTTTCCCAGGCACCTTCTACTGGAAAGAGAGATCCTAAGTCCCCAAGACAACGGTCAGCTAATAAGCGCTTCACCAGCGGAGAGATTTTCCTCAGCAACCCATAAGTCTCAACTTTCTCCTGCCCTGGTTTTATCTGTCTGGTTATCCCACTTCAGTCTCACAAATTTCTGTGTTCTGTGCACGTGCTAGGGAAACCATAGCGACATAATGACACGGAATTAATCACAACTGCATAACACCAAAGAAAATACTCACAGAGCAGTAATTTCTCCTTCAGTTTTAGTTCAAGCTCCCTCTTTTCTCCTTGTGTCCCAACCTCACCTCTTCATTTGTTTATTCATCCAGTCGTTCACTTGTTTTTGAGACAGGGTCTCACTATGTAGCTTAGGATGGCCTTGAACTTTCCATCCCCCTGCCTCAACCTCCTAAATGCTGAAATTACAGGAATTCAACATCATGCCTTGCTTTAAACTATTTCTGAACACCAAGAGATTAAATGTTGTTTTGTTTGTTTGTTTCTTTGTTTGTTTGTTTGAGACAGGGTTTCCTTGGGTAGGCCTGGCTGGCTGGCCTGGAACTCACTATGTCGCCAGCCTGGCTTCAGACTCACAGAGAGATCTGTCTGCCTCTGCCTCCGAGTCCCAGGACTAAAGGCATGGGTTACTATGCCTGACCTCCATAAAACATTACAAACACTGCAAGGAAATGGATGCACAAAGAGTTATAATTAATTCATGACCTTGACTCATTAGTAAAAGTTTTTGTTTTTCTCAGTGTGTTGTCATAAAAGCAGGCAAGAGTTTAATATATAGAAGACGAGGCCTCTGCAAAGGCCCTGTTCTCCAGAGTGTCAGTGTTTATTTCAAAGCAAGGAGCTTGTCATCCATCTTGGGTGCCAGGCAGGGAGTTAGCCAATGGAAGGACTAGCGTGGTGAAACTAAGAAGGGAACAGTGACAAAACCATTTGGTCACCGCTCAGAGAACCAAGGCCAAAGCTTCTGAAATTTCACTAGTGAATTCACAAACGAGAGCGAGTGTGCAAGTTTCTCAGAAGGTTCCCTGAAGCAGGAAGTCCAGTTCTGAATGGAAGGGTGGGGCTAGCTAGAGAAAGGGCTTCCCAGGCCCGGGCCACAGCCATGGGCACAAAACCATGGCCAGGGTTAAGTGTGAGGAAACTGAGGGCTTAGAGAGGGAAGGCTTAAAGAACTTTCTAGGCGCCAGCTCATTAGTCTAGAGGGAATTTGTGTGAATTCCCTTCTTTCCCTCAGGGCCAGGTAAGGAATTTGATCAGAACAGGGGTATGTGCATATGGGTTACTTATTTCCTTCAACTTTCAGGATCCTGGAGGTTGTTCAGCCTCCATAGAGGGGAAATTGGCGGGAGGCTAGGGGAGCCTCCAGTGAGAAATACGTTTTCCAAGCTGCCAGGTGCAAAGTGTGACATTTATAAAATCAGATAATGTCTTCCTGCTGCAAAAAGGTCTGACGTCTCCCAGTGGCTGGCTGACGCCCGATTGCAGATGCCCCGAACACGGGACACAGCCAGCCACTCCTTAGCCCAGAAGCTTACTGCGGTAAACAGTCAAAGGGAAGGCCGTTGAGCAAAGATCTCCCAGGGTCTGACCCAGCTCCACTTAAGGCCCACTTTTTAATTCCAGTAGTTTGCACAATTTACGCAAAACCTGCTAGCGTGGGACGCCTGACCCTTCTGTGAGGGGGCCGTCCCAGGCCGGGAGAAGCTCCCACACCCCTTTCTCTACTTCAGGAGGGTGGGAGGGAAGAGGTGGCCCGTCACACTTGGCACCTGGCGGAGGCAGCCGGCGGTCCGCGGCTACCAGGAATCACTGAGGTCACCAAGTGGTCTTGGTCCCTGACCCCTATTCCGTCTGTCTCTGCCAGGAACTGCATCCGCCTTCCACCCTTTCACACTGAGCCTCCGGTGCTGGCCACTCCCCCACCAAAAGCTCCCGCAGCAGCAACTTCACTAGCACCGTGTCCTAAAGCTCCAGTCACCCCCCACCCCGCCTCAGTCCTCCACCATCCCCATCCCCCACGCACACTAATCTAAACCTTTTGCACCCCCAGGAGCCATTTCCATCTTCTGTCCCTAAGCTCGGTCTCCGACTCCTACATTCCCCCCCCCCCCCCC